AAAATTAACTTTTAATAATTTTTTATTGATAATTATAATAATTTTTAAATTTATGGAAAAATAAATTGTTTATTTATAAAGAAAAACTTATAACTCTTCAAACATGTAATAAGTTTGGCAAAAAAAGAAAAAGGAAAAATTCCATAAGTTTCCTTTTATGCTTCTTCTCCATCTTTTATAATTATTAATAAAAAAAACTTGTGATATTAAAGGTTTATCTTTTTATTAATAATTTTAAAAAAACTATTATATATTTCAAATGTAATCAAATTATTAACAACAAAATAGTTACACAAGGAGCAGGCCTCGTCTTCTTACTTAAGTCCTTTCTTATTTAACTATTTATATTTTATAATGTAATTAAATTTAAATTATAAAATAAAAAATTCTAAAAAAATTCAACTATGTAAAACAACATTCCCAATAAATATTTGGACAAAAAACAACCTTATCCGTTCAAAATCACAATCGACGCCGTCAATCCAAGTCTACGCACAATAGTCAACGTTTTCTGTCAAGGCAAGACTCGAAATATCTTATCCTAATCTGTTCCGCCCTCCACAGCACGGTCTCTCCCCTTTATTCTATTCAAAACTAAATTATCTTTATCCAGATAACCTTTTTTATTCTTCTCCAATTTTCAAAAGTAAACAATTCCCACTATTAAAAAAAAATAGTCCGGATCAGGATGAGGCTTTCCCATCCTCTGTTTTCTCCCTTTTTTTTATTTTTTATTTTTTTGGGTTTAATTCAATTTTTAGTCTATTAATTATAAATTTAATTTTATTTTAGTTTAGAGAGTTTATTTTCTTTATAAATGTTTTATAAACTTTGCAAATATTTCCAAGTAATCTATCAATACAACATTTTGTTAGATTTAATGGAAAGAGTAGTCATTTTAAGTTTTAAAAAAGTGACATTATAATTTTAATAAAATATGATAACTCAAGAAATATTTTATAGAAATAAATTAGTTAAAATTTATAATAAGCTTGAGCAACTAGTCTTTACATGGTAGATTATATGCAATCTGTCATGAAAAATCATTTAAATGTTCCTGAAAAATAATATAAAAATAAAATTAAATGCATTTAAACAATTTTACAAGACAGACTACATACAGTCTGTTCTATAAATTAGTTTTTTGAAGAACACATTTAATAAAATAAGATTAAAATCTATTTTTAAGGTGAATATAAATTTAAGGACTAAAAGATAAAAAAAATATATATAATTAAAAGACTAAATATTTTGTCATAAAATAAGAAAATTCTATTAAAGATAACATATTAGATGAAATTAAAATAAATATGAAAAATAATATACAAAATTAAAAAAATTCAAAAATAATAAGTAAAACTTAAAAAAATATAAAAATTAATAGATAATTTATTAAATTAACTTTTTTTTGCATCAAAAACTATGAAACATTCTTATTGCTAACTCACTATTTTTTAAAAATAAATTGAGAAATGCACTTGGGCTTTTGA